TCGGGATACAAACCTCCCGAGTGCGGCGGCTATTCCAGTTAATCTTTGCACCCATTTTACAGTCCGAGGTGACTTTAGTTCGGTAATTGCTTTTACCTGATCGGAATTGACCTCAACTCCTCGGTAGGTAACCATGAAACCTAGGAATTTACCAGAACCTACACCAAACGCACACTTGGAGGCATTCAGCTTCATTTTATGTCTTCGGAGTATGTCGAATGTTATTCTTAAATTAGCACAGTGATTAGTGGCTTTCTGACTTTTAACCACCATGTCATCTATGTAGACTTCCATGGTGTTGCCCAACTAGTGAGAAAACATCTTTGTTACTAACCTATGGTAGGTTGCTCCGACATTTTTTAACCCGAAAGACATTACTTTATAACAGTATGTCTTTTCTGATGTTATGAATGCTGTCTTTTCTTGGTTTTCTTTGACAAGTGGGATCTGGTGATATCCTCTGTATGCGTCCAAAAAGCTCTTTCGCTTTTTCCCGGTCGTCGCATCAACAAGCTGGTCTATCTTTGGTAAGGGAAAGTTGTTTTTTAAACATGCTTTATTGAGGTCGGTGAAGTCCACACAAATCCTCTACTTACCGTTCTTCTTCTTGACTACAACAGTGTTCGACAGCCAAGTCGGGTATTGAACCTCCCTGATGGTTTGAGACTAACAAGCATGCAACCTCTTCTTTTACTACTTCATGATGTTGGGGTGCCGATCTCCTAAGCTTTTGTTTGACTAGCTTGAAGCTAGGGTCCACATTCAATCGGTGACATGCCACTTCGGGCACAACACCTGGCATTTCACTCATGCTCCAAGCGAAGACGTCGGCATATTCTCTGAGTAGGGTGATGAGTTTGTTTTGCTGTTCGGGACTGAGAGACGCTCCCAACAAAAAATACTTGTCCTGATCTCCATTTTTGTCTAAAGGTACTTTAGACAAGTCTTCCATTATTCGGTTGGTAACTTCTTTCTCTGTGCCTAAAGGTACTTTAGGATTTTTTATGATAGTTTGGTCAGTGGAATTAGTTGACCTGTCAAAGGTTGGTTGCTATTTTGAATCCTCGGTTGCTGATCTTTTCTCTCAAACCTATACTCAGTCTCTGGCTTTGACCGAGGCTAATAAATAAGTCTGGAAACTTACTTGGTCTCCTCTAATGTTCACTATTCCTTCAGATGATGGGAATCTCAGCATTTGGTGGTACAACCTTCATCTTATGTAGCCAAGATCGCCCCATAATTGCATTGTATGTCGAGACTGTATTCATCACCAAAAATTCGGCCACGACTCCGACTGGTCTAGTCTTCACGGGAAGTGTGATCCTCCCCTTAGGAAGAATTATTTTTTCACTAAAGTCAATTAGTGGAGTATTAGCGGGTTTAAGATCCTCCTGTTTGAGTCCGAGCTTCTCAAATAGGTCTATATACATGATTTTTGAGGAACTCCTTGGATCAATCAGTACCCTTTTCACATCGTAATTTGCAATTCGGAGCATTACCACCAACGCGTCGTTATATGGCTGATGTACCCTGACCAAATCCTTCTCGGTGAAGCTAATGGCCTTAGCTGATTCTTCCACTTTAATCCTTTTACTTCTAACTTCTGGGGTCAGTTGTAGTTGATAAACTTCTCTTTCATTCGTGGCTCTAAGAATGTATGCCCTAACAGCGTTATTCGTTGCCATTTGTGGATTCGTTACAACATTGATCATATCTATTACACCTGCAATTGTGGTTTGGTCTCCTCATGGGTAGGTTCTTCCTCCCTCAGCTCTAGCACCACCTTCAATGAATTTAGCAAGATGTCCAGCCTAGACCAGCTCCTCTAAGTACTGTTTCAAAGATTGGTAGTTTTCGATCATGTGTCCTATATCTCGATGATATGAGCACCTGATATTAGAATTCCTTTTTGAAGGATCTCCTGTTAGTTTATTGGGCCACTTGAAAAATGACTTCCCCTTGATTTGAGTCAATGTCTTATATATAGGCTCTTTGAATACTGTATTTACCTCTTTAAAGGGGGACTTCATGGGAAATCCTTTTTTCTCTTTCTTCCCTCCTCCCTCTTTGCTCGGTTCGGTCTACTTATCATGGTTGAACTGCCTTCTGCTTTGATGATCCTTCCCCATGTCTCTGGACAAGTCATCATCGACTTTTGCATATTTCTCAATTCTCGCCATCAGCTCTTCCAGGTCTGTGGTAGGCCTCCTGGTAAGAGATTGTTATAGTGGATTTTCCTTTGGTAACCCGATTTTGAAGGATGCAACTGCAATGTTAGGGTTGCAAGCTTCCACTTCATTCATTGTCTTCAAGTAGCGATGAGCATACTCTTGCAAAGTCTCATTACTTCGCTTCTTCAGTGTTAGTAGAGCCCTGACATCCTTGAGCTATTTATTGCTTGTAATGAACCGAGCTGTGAATTGTTTGATTAATTGTGACCATCCGTCTATCGTCCCTTTTGGCAAGATGTCGAACCACATTATGGGCGATTTTCCAAGGTTGCTAGGAAAGATAATGTAGAACAACGACTCGTTTCTCCGATGTATGCTCATCAGCTGCCTGTAATGTCTGATGTGGGAGGATGGATTGATTTTTTCATCATACAACTTGAAGTTTGGGACTGTGAATTTGCTCGGAATTCGCCTTTTTCGATCCACTGTGTGAATGGCGAGGATTCCGAACCGTCTCCATATTCTCCTGTTGCTCTTCTGGCCAAGTCCCTAGACAATTTCTGCTCGGGTATCTTTAGACGGTTGTTAAGTTCTTCGGTGATGAACTGTTTCTAGGAGACTTCCTCCATGACCCGAGGTCTTTTTTGTTTGTATTTATCAACATCAGCATTTTTGGTTCTGTCAAATTTCCTTTCGGGACTTTCTCGTCGGCTTTCCCTTTCACGTTTCTCTTTCTTAGTCATCTCTTTCAACCTGACTTTCAATTCTTCGTTCTCTTTTATCAGATCATTTTTCCTAGTACAGGATTTATTGAATAATTTGTCATGTGCATTGAGTCGGTCTTGCAAGGATTGGACCAACTTTGCCAAGGAATGGTTCTCCCCCTCGGCACGGAGGGATTCACTATGATCTTCGCCTTGCCGAGTCTGGCTTTTGGATGGTTTGAAACTTACTGAGGATATCTCGTCATCCTCATGGGGTCCAGTCAGGCTTTTGGCCATATGCAATCTAACATCGCTATCAGATGGAAGTGACACTCTGTAATCCGGATCAAAATTCCCTAAGGCAAAATTGTCTACAGGTGATCCAATGCCACTTCTAAGTCTTGACATTGTGGTTATTCGTTTCGATTGATGAAAATCTTCCCACAGACGACGCCAAAAAATGTAAGAGGCAGAAAGTGAGATTACCTCACACACTGAAATATGATTTGGTATTTCTAGTAAAGAGCACTTCTGAACTTGAACTCCCAATTTTTTCTTTCTGCAAAACGAGCAAACTGTCTAAGATTGAAGTGCTTCAATCGAAGACACTCCGATACTTAAGTCAATAATGAAACTGATTGAATTACTAATAGATAAGGAGAGTTCAGCGTACCTTTCATCTTAGTTCCTTGTGCTTTTTATAGATCCTTATTTAATTAGGGTTTCCAAGATTTCTGATTCATGGTGGCACATCCTCCTTCAATTAGGCGAATCTGTTTGAGAAGTTGTTAAAATCTCTCTAGCAGTTCCATTGGCCTGACCTATAATTAATCCTATTAGCTTATCCTAAGTGCCTGAGTTATAGGCAAATCTTTTGCTCTTTTTTTTGACTATTTGAAACCGTTCAATTGCGATGAGGACCGACCTCTTTCCATTCTCACCAAACTCATCGAACAGCTCGGTTTCAGTCTATTGAACGAGTGATTGATGTCTTCATCACGTGCATTGTCTTGTCATTCTTACATGAGCTTATTTAATGCCATGACACGTGTAGTAAAAGAAGCCACTCCCTTCAAATACCATACGTCTTTAATACAAAATCTCAAAACATATAATATCACGTTCTTAACAAAAAATTGATTCTGTACTTTATTGAAGACCATACGCCTTCAACAAAAAATCTCGAAACATATAATGTCACGCTCTCAACAAAAAACCACAAAATATCAAAACATATAATTTGAATACTTAACTATATATATACAAATGAGGCAAGAGAGATGGAGAGAATACGAGTGCTTGCCTTGGACTATCCCTTTGGCACGGAAAATAGTCTTCTTATGTGTAATGTAAGAGTAAAATTGGCCTTTGTGAGACTAATGCATTGAATTGTCCAAATTGCACTTTATTGCGTGCGAAACAATTATGGTCATAAATAGGTCCGTGAATGGATCGAATTTTGATTTGAATTTAATTAGTTGGATATAAATTAATAATTTTTTTATCAATAATTTGATCCGAATTTTAATTTGATATTTTATATTTTCACGGATTCAAATTTGGATGTATCTCTATTCGATTCAATTATAATCCGATCTGAATTATTTATATATTATTATATAAATATTAAAAAAATTAAGTAATTATTTAAATAAATTTAGTTAAAAATTTAGGTATAATTTGTTAAAATTCAGTTAATTAAGTTATTTGGATTTAATTAAATTTTTAGATTGTTAACAAATTTAGATATGGATCACAAAAATAAATTTCATCGAATTATTGGATTGGAATTTTGAAATAAAAATTATATTCGAATAAGTTAGAATCCAATTTAAATCCAATTCATCGAGAGACCAATTTATGTTTTTTTGAAAAATTAGATTTCTTAAAGTAGTTTTAAAATTCTTTTTTGGGGAAAATTATGACTGACCGGCTATTTCCATTTCCCAGTTTGGGCGTCTCCGCCACTGGCACTCTCAAAGACTTTTTTTTTTTTCCTTTCTCTTTCTCTCTCATCACTTAAGTAATTAGGGTTCGAGAGCCGAATAACTAATTTATAGCTTTTCGATTTGATCTTCTTTGGATTCGTTTTTATCACTTTGATCATCGTCGAAGGATCAAAAGAATGGTGAGAGGATTGCTCAATAAGCTCGCGTCTAAGTCTCTCTCCGTCGCCGGAAAATGGCAGCAACAGCAGCTACGCCGCCTCAACATCCATGAATATCAGGTCACTCTTCTCTCACCGTCACCGTCTATCCTATCACATTAATTAACGTACGTATGTTTATGTATGATTGTGCATGCAGATCCTTTTAGAGAATTACTCGTACATATTGTATGCTGATACGCAGCATTCCATGTGGTATGCTGTAGGATATATCCTCCTTTTGATTGTCCACAAAAAGAAACTGAATTAGGAGAGGGAAACTTGATGTTGTTCATCTTATTTTACAGTCAGTTTTGATGTCTAAAAATGACAGAAAGTAAAGTAAAAGAAGGGCTAAGCGAAATTGTGTTGGTGGGGTCGTTTTACCGAACATTTTTTTCCTTTGGTTCAACATCCAATAAATGAAAATCTAAGATTTGACTCGAATTTCTTTTGATTTCTTTCCGTGCATTTTTTTTTCTCAGCAACCTAATGAAGCATGAGGTAATGCGTGATCGCAACGTTGCATCTTCTTTTTCTTTTTTTCTTTATTCTGTGTAAATTACAAAGCTTTCAGAAATAAACCACTACAAGGAACCAATGATTCTCTCTTCTTAAACATACTATATCGTCCACACTTAATCTACATTTGACAGATTATCCAACCTCGAGCAATCTGTATGAAGTATGAACTCTATTAGAAGCTGGTATACAACTAATTCGGGTTTTTTCAATTCTTACTGTTGAGGCTTAATCAGAATCATATAGGGAGATTTGGATGGAAGGGGTTTTGTTTTGTGAAGATAGTATGATGATGTGACTTTTAACTGCCAATTTTTGTTTGTAATTGTTGATATAGGCCATGAAATATTTTTTGATATTCTGAAATCAGGGAGCTGAGTTGATGAGTAAATATGGGATCAATGTGCCGAAAGGTGCAGCTGTTTCCTCTGTTGAAGAAGTCAAAAGGGCAATTCAGGATGTATTCCCCAAGGACAATGAGGTATTATTAGAGAAGCTCTGGACTTTATAGGGGTATTTACACGTTTATGTCAATATGAGGATAACTTAACCATCTCTTTGGATGCTAGTAAAACCCTGGCAAATCAAAGCCAATCCGACAGGCAAGTTTTGGTTTTGCAGAAAAAATCAAAATTGAACTCAACTGGGTCAGATATCTGTTTGGTTGGGTTGGCGGTGAATATTTTCTGCTTGTGAATCTCAAAAATTGAGAAACAAGCGACAGAATTATTGATTTTTTTATATGCTCCTATGTATTTGCAAAAGCCAAACATAACGCAATTGAATGAGCAATTCTGCTTCTGTTGCAGTTGGTGGTTAAAAGCCAAATCCTTGCTGGTGGGCGGGGCTTGGGAACATTCAAAAATGGTCTGAAGGGTGGAGTTCACATTGTGAAGGCTGATCAAGCTGAAGAGATAGCTGGTACGTTGGCTGTATTCTATTCATCAACTTTGTATTTATTTCTATGAGTTTGTTGTCTTCTACTCCTTAATTTTGTAAGTCCTTGGTTGTTATATTTTCAATGTCTAAAATTTTAAGCAATTAATTGAACCCCTGGTAGTGTACTTTTACTTGCCAACAATTTCTATGGAAGTGACTGAATGTTGAATTGTGCAATATGGTGGGGCACCCCTAGATTACTTTAATAGTGTTATGACATTGCAAACTTCCTCTAATATCACATTTTCAAATATCCTACCTGAATAAACCATTTGAGAAATCGTAAGAAACCACAAACCTAGAGAAGGGAGAACCTTATTCTTTGCTTTAATTGAAATGGCTGAACCAGTACTCAAGGAGGGTACAATCTATGTCACACAATTCGCCGGAAACCACTGGTTCTCTAGAGCTCCGAGCGCAAATTCGCACTTTCAAAGCGAAAGCACTTCAAATTCGCAAACTCATTTACATGAATTCGTGAACTCACTGAAATGAATTTGCCGGTTTCAACAAAATGTAGAAACCAACCACTTTATTGAATATTTAAACTACAAATTCCAAGCCAAATGGCTTTAAATGCTGCATCGGCTGTACTCAACATCAAAATTTAATATTCTTAAATATATGTTGTAACGTCCCGGTTTTTCAGACCCGTTATTTGATTAAATCAATCGATCACAATATATCACAAATAAATCTCCGAATATAGGGCTAGAGTTCTAATTGCCTCAATAAATTTATAATCACAATTTTGATCAAATAACAATAAAAATAATCTCCTTAATATAAAAACAAATCTGTTCAAATTATTTATCACCCCAATAAACCCAAATTTCCCATATTTCAACTCTGGTCCTTCCCTCAGGAATTATATAAATCCATAAAGTTAAAAATTATTTCAAGACTCGTCTATCTTCGATTCCTTAAATATCAATTTTGATTATTACCTCCAAGATTATCTTGGAAAAAAATATTAAAAGTAGGCAAGTATACAATATGACAAGAAACAATATACTCAACGAGAAAAATGTGAATGATAAAATTCCAAATAATTCAATCGATGAATAATCATAGATAAAAGAATCAAGAATCTAATTTGATAAGTCACATAGCTCAATTTCTATCAAACATAGCTTCATACTTGGTTTATCTTGGTAGCATGATAAATGACACTTAGACATTTAAATTCCATACACATATCGAACTATTACACTCTGCTGGGCTGTAATCGCAAACCCATCCCGCAAGGCTGTAATCACAATCGCACCCCCTAGGGTCATAATCACACTTCACCAATTATGTCTCAAGTACACTACGTACATGTACCAATCAACCTTAGAGTATTTAGTCCCATGTACAGGTTGACCAATAAAATTGATAGAATTTTGTATCAATCAGAATAATCAATAGAATTACAAATTTCAGATAATCAAATAACACTTTTTGTAAAGAGATTTAAAATAGAGGGACATATTGTATACTACCCCGTACCTCAAAATCATTAATAACTTCAATAGCTAAGAAATTCGAAGTTCCCCGAATAAGACACTTCAATTTGGTAATGATCAAAAGTAAAATTCACTATTTAATTTTTGACCCCAAAATCTCATAAATTTCTCTCTCTACATCTTTTTCTCTCTTTCTCTTTCTTCCTCTCTCTCTTTCTTCCTTGCTCTGCGTTTTGCTTATTGACAGCCCTTTATTTATAGGGTGCAAATGCTTGGCCTCCAAGGAAATCATTGGACAAATGTCCATTCTCTCATGGTTGCTTCTCCTTTTTTTTTTTCCTAATAGACCACATGTCCATTGTTATATATATATATATACTTACATATATTCTATATGTAATGTATTACTCATATATTATATCACATTTTATTTTTAATACGAAATATGACCTATATTATACTTATTTGACTCGTTTTCACATAAAGAAATCATAATTGAAGTCCATTTATTTATTTAAAATTTTTAAAAATAATCCTTAGTTATATAGAATCATAATTGACGACATGATTAGCATGTTAATGATTATTATTATTATTTTTTTATACGGGTCGTCACAATCTACCCCCTTAAAAGAATTTCGTCATCGAAATTCGATACTAACCTCAAGAGTAAAATAAGCATGAAAACATTACACAAATATCTGTTGGGGTACTCTGATACCTTTTTCAACTCTTTACTATATAACCCAAAATTTTGATATGAATTTCAATTTATACATCCGTCTAATGGGAATTGATTGACTTTCTCCGTACATTTCAAATTTCTATACCTATAGCGACAGCTAATAGTCTCACTTTCCATAAGACCTATGTAAGATCTGATACCTAAGCTCTGATACCACTTTGTAATGTCCTGGTTTCCTGGACTCATTACTTGATTAAATCAATCGATCACAATATATCACAAATAAATCTCCGAATACTTGGCCAGAGCTCTAATTGCCCCAATAAATTTATAATCACAATTTTAATCTCCAAATAACAATAAAAATAATCTCCTCAATATAAAAATAAATCTGTTCAAATTATTTATCACCCCAATAAACCCAACTTTCTCATATCTCAACTCTAGTTCTTCCCTCAGGAATTATATAAACCCACAAAGTTAAAAATTATATCAAGACTCGTCCATCTTTGATTTTTTAAATATCAATTTTGATCATTACCTCCAAGATTATCCTGAAAAAAAATATTAAAAGCGGGAAAGTATACAATATGACAAGAAACAATATGCTCAACGAGAAAAATATGAATAATAAAATTCTAAATAATTCAATCGATAGACAATTATAGATAAAAAAATCAAGAATCCAATTCGATAAGTCAGATAGCTCAATTTCTATCCAACATAGTTTCATATTTGGTTTATCTTGGTGACATGATAAGTGACACTTAGGCATTTAAATTTCATACTCATCGAACTATTACACCCCGCAGGGTTGTAATCACAATCGCACCCCGTAGGACCATAATTAAATTTCACTATTTATGCCCCAAGTACACTTCGTACATGTACCAGTCATTCCCAGAGTATTTAGTCCCACGTGCAGGTCAACTGATAAAATTGACAGAATTTCGTATCAATCAGAATAATCAATAGGAATACAAATTTTAGATAATCAAATAACACTCTTTGCAAAGAGATTTAAAATAAATGAGCATATTGTATGCTACCCCATACCTCAAAATCATTAATAACTTCAATAGATAAGAAATTCGAAGTACCCCGAATAAGACACTTCAATTTGGTAAATGATCAAAAGTAAAATTCACTATTTAATTTTTGACTCCAAAATCTCATAAATTTCTCACTCTCTCCATCTTTTTCTCTCTTTTCTCTTCCTTCCTCTCTCTCTTTCTTCCTTGCTCTACGTTTTGCTTATTGGCAGCCTCTTATTTATAGGGTGCAAATGCTTGGCCTCCAAGGAAGTCATTGGACAAATTTCCATTCTCTTATGATTGCTTCTCCTTTTTTTTTTCTAATAAACCACATGTTTATTGTTATCTATATATATATATACTTACATATATTCTATATGTAATGTATTACTCATATATTATATCACATTTTATTTTTAATACGAAATATGACCTATATTACACTTATTTGACTCGTTTTCATATAAAGAAATCATAATTGAAGTCTATTTATTTATTTAAAATTTTTAAAAATAACCCGTAGTTATATAGAATCATAATTAACGACATGATTACCGTGTTAATAATTATTATTATTATTATTATTTTATACGAGTCGTCACATATGTAAATATATATGCATGTACATAGTATGACGCCCTTGGCGCTCCCGCTCCCGCTCCTGCTCTGTGTGACCTAGGGTACAATGCTTCCTTTTAGCCGTATAGAATCATTTTATTTGAATTAATGTCTTGACTAGCATACACAATGATATGCATAGTTCATGTTACAACAATTTTCTTTTGGCCTATGTATCCTTGTCTTGCCTTGATATATTAGTTTCTTGGATCATAATTTTTATTTTTATTTTAGTGGTCATTTCATTTTGATAGGCAGTGTATTTTTCATATATCCTGCCCGCTGTGGGCTTGCAACACTTAAAGAATTAAAATATTTATAGCATTCTTTCGTACTGTTTTGTTTTGTAGTTGGAACCTCTGGAATTTTGTGATGCATTTGTTAGTATTTTTCGATCCAGATGACATCGAAACTTGTCTGTTAATGATTTTTTAGATGGTTTATTTAGTAAAAACATTGGTAAATGCAAGCTACTTTTTGTCATACTAGGAAATGTTAATTATTGATGTTTTGGTGTGAAAGCATTATAGAGTCCAAAATTTGTTTGGAATTTAAGCTTGCCAATGTCGAGGGCGACATGCTGACATCTTTGACTTGAGTGGCTTGCTAAAAACCATTTGGATTTACTCTAAGATCTTAATAAATTACTGCATATTGTATTAGGAAAGTGTTTTGAATATTACTCACTTTGCGTTTGACTTCTAAGTTGGTTTCATTTTTCCTCTATCTCGACCATATATTTTATATTGTTTGCAGGGAAAATGCTTGGACAGATACTTGTTACCAAACAGACTGGGCCGCAAGGCAAAGTTGTCAGCAAGGTCTGCCATTCTATATATATTCTGCATCACAAATATGTGAACAAGTGGGCTTACAGAATGCATGTTTATGCTACTGCAACATGCATCTGCATGTACTCGAATTAATTTGCAGAGAGCACACTTCATGCATTTGAGCCAGTGGTCATGTTTTTTTTGGCTGATTCTACTCTAATGGATTTGAATCACATTAACTATTTATTAGTCTCCATTGCTGACAATTTTAGTTCTTCTAGGTCTTTTGGAATATGAAGAAAATTGTGCCCGTGTCATTTCCAACTCTTATTCACTGAAAATTAAAACGTTCTGCTCTTTTTTAGATCATTTGTCCTAATATTGTCTTGTTTTGAGAAGTGAACAAATGGGTTGTTTAGGATTTGAGTGGGAACATGTTAAAAAGTGATGGATGGTTTAAACTGAAGGATATATACCAAATCATTATTTTTCTTGGATGATAATACTATTGAAGACTATCAAGATTAGCCTTTATGGCTCCTTCAATTATGTTAGATAATATATCTACTCAACTTAACAAAACCTTTATCCCAACTATTTGGGACAGCTACATGAATCATGTTTCTTTATTGATGTTTAGATAGTATACCTGAACTCTATATTAGAGAGGGTAATATGTTGAATAAAGAACTTTTTAAAATCAGATGAAGTTGATAAGTGCATACTTTTTGAATGAGTCATTTTGGTTAGTATTTTTTAAAAAGTGAATTTTACATAGAAAAGGCATTCTTCTGTAGCCAGTTTTCTGATTCATCTGCTCTAACTTTAGTAGTAATGTATTCACCACCCAGATTTACTTGTATTTTCTGGAAATCCAAGGTCTATGTTATTTACTTTTTCCAGAAGGTAAATATTCTGGACACCCAGAATTGTGAAATGGCTGGGATTTTTTTTTTATTGGACTGTGAAATGGCCTAAGCCTTTCCAATGAAGGTTCATAATATATGCAACATTGAAATTCTGTGGTTTGGTGAGTACAGGAGAAGATTGATGGTGAACTCCATTGTGTGCCCAAATTACAAATTTCTATTATTGGAGCATGCTGCATGCACATTACTATTTTGAGAATTAAAAATCAATGTTTTACATTCTAATGCAGGTTTATTTGTGCGAAAAGTTATCACTTGTCAATGAGATGTACTTTGCGATTACTCTTGATCGTACAACCGCTGGTCCTGTAAGTTCCCTAACATGCTGTAGTAACATAATGATTACCTTCCAGAATGATTGCATTTGTTTAAAATAAGCTTACGTTCATGTCATTAGTTTTAAAAAACACTTTTACTTCTTGCCATATGAGCCCATTAATTCTACCAATGATTTTAATATGGCCTATAAGTCAACTCTTCCTTGAGTCAAACCTGCATTGTGGAGTTGACTCTGATACCAAATCATAAGAACCCGGACCAATTCCCCTTCCCTTATGAATGTGAAGTTGATTTTTACTGTTTCCAGGTGACAGTAATGGAAATTATGTTAATTCTAATGCATTGTGTTGCTCCTATGTGCTTGTTGGCGAAGTTGTGCATTTGTTTACAATAACGCCAAAATTGAGTTGGAAGCCATTATAGTTCACAGTTAAAGATCATTCTAAGCTAAGCTAAGCTGCTTCTTGGACTTTATTTATCCTTTTTGTTTTTTCTGGTTAAACGTACAGCTTATAATTGCCTGCCGAAAGGGAGGAACCAGCATTGAAGACCTTGCAGAGAAATTCCCTGATATGATTATAAAGGTTATTCTTCATCCCTTTGCTTTCAACATGCTGATGCTACCAGCATCTCTTTTGCCCCTGCACTAATTTTCCTGATAAATGTATATCCACGCTTTTTTCGTGTGCAGGTACCTATTGATGTTTTTGAAGGAATTACTGATGAAGATGCTGCAAAGGTTGTTGATGGTTTGGCTCCCAAGGTGGCTGACAGAAATGCTTCAATAGAACAAGTGAAGAAGTTATACAAACTTTTCTGCGAATGTGACTGTACACTGCTGGAAGTAAGCATGTACTGAAATACTTAATAGATTTTTGCAACAGCAGCATCTTCGAAGTTTTGCAACACTCTTCTACTCAAAATTCTCCTAGTTCATATCCAATTTTGAAATTAACTTACTTGGACAGATCAATCCCATTGCGGAAACATCTGATAACCAGCTGGTAGCTGCTGATGCGAAGCTAAATTTTGATGACAATGCTGCTTTCCGTCATAAAGAGATATTTGCGCTCCGTGATCCAACGCAGGAGGATCCTCGTGAGGTATTGCTTATCTCTAGTACATGAGTGGATAGCCTCGCATTTACTGTTGGGAAGAAAGGCAGTAAACCTCAATTCATGGCATTTTCTTGTTTGTTTAACTCATGACAGGTGACTGCTGCAAAAGCAGATTTGAATTATATTGGTTTAGATGGAGAAATTGGTTGCATGGTAAATGGTGCTGGATTGGCAATGGCTACCATGGATATAATTAAGCTACATGGAGGAACTCCTGCCAATTTTCTGGATGTAGGTGGGAATGCTTCCGAAGGCCAGGTAATTTGTTTTGAGAAGACAGTGGAGTTTCTATGCTCTAATGAAAAAAACTGATACTGGAATTCTCATTTGCTAGTCAAGTTCCCTTCAAAATATTAACACCCCCCTTCTCTCTTTCTTGGGTGCATGGAGCAGGTTGTGGAAGCTTTTAAAATTTTGACTTCAGATGAGAAGGTGAAAGCGATTTTGGTGAACATTTTTGGAGGAATAATGAAATGTGATGTAATAGCCAGTGGCATTGTCAACGCTGCTAAAGAGGTGAATCTTGCATTAAATTGATTCTATTTTTGTTCCATACAGTGGTAATCTCTTTTATTTGTGCACTCTGGCACCAAGTTTTTGTCCTCCGAGCCATTAAGTGCGATATTACTTAAGACGAACTACTATTCACAGATTATTTGAAATAATCTATAGTATGCATTTAGGATTTTTTGATTGTATCACCTTGATGCCAATGGTTGCACAATTGTTAACTTGTTGGGGCTTGTCTTCAAGGTTCAATTGAAAGTACCAGTAATTGTTCGTCTTGAAGGCACCAATGTTGATCAAGGGAAAAGGATCCTCAAGGTAATTTCCAAACCAATCACTTCTTATGAAAAGAAATTTCGATGTATTTGAAAGTTGATGACGTAACGAGGGAAGGGAAAGGAAAGGAAACTCGAATGATAATTTTTTGCCGTTTCTGGTGACGTGTCTGCAGGAGAGTGGGATGAAGTTAATTACGGCCGATGATCTCGACGATGCGGCTGAGAAAGCAGTTAAAGCAATTGCTAGTTGAGGGCATCAAGTCTTTTCATATGATCTTATTTTGCTTCATTTTGAATCTTTTGGGCCAATTCCTCCGAGGACTACACTCTACTAGGAGCCGCATTGGTGTTATGGCTTCCTGGTTGTAACTCAAAAACATTTGTGTCGAGTACACAAAATCTACAGATATTCATCTGCTTATGGCTTGCATAATTGAATTATGGGTTAATTATTTTTTACTTCCCACTAGTTTTGGCTTGGCTAAAAGCATCTTATTTGATAATTAAAATTATGCATATTACTCATTTGTAGTTATGTACCAAAATGAATTAATTATTTTTATAATGTAAATTAAGGGAGTGTGTTCTACACATCAAAAATATGTGGATCTTGTTTTTATTGTTTTCCTCTACAAGAACATTGTTTAAGTGTTTAAAATACATTTTATAATATATAGTATAATACCTAGATAGGGCATCAGTTTCAAATCAAAAAACATTCAAGAAAAATTTAAGTGATTTTTGGCCTTGAAGCCAAAATCTTACTTGAGAAAAAAAGAGATTCAGACATGTTTGATTAAAATGTATTAATTTGTTGTCATGTTTTATTAATTTTATGATCGAGAATAAATCAGACAAAAAATCTACTTTTAAAATATTAGTATTATAGTAATTTTTTAATTTTGTTAACGACATTAATTATTTCACTTTATTACATAATTATAAAGGAATAATGTACGTAATTTTAAACGTTAAATAGGTAAGATATTATTAACCCTTGAATTATTACAATAACCTCTTTGTAAGTAAGGGAAATATTTTCCCAGACAAAAAAAAAAAAGAGAGGAGTAGTGAGAATGGCGCATGAATACCCACAAAAAAATTACATTAAACACAAATAAAGAAACAAGAATGAGAAGAAACCGTCTAAAAGAACTTTCCTTTCTTCAAGTATTCTGCAATTCTCTTTGAGATGCAATAAGCTGTTGATTGTATGGTAATCATGGGATTGACCCCAACAGCACTTGGAAGCACACTGCCATCGCATACAAATAAACCTTTGGCTTCCCAAGTCTCTCCATTCTCATCAACTGCACCATCTACCTCGGTAGCACCCATCCTGCAACTACCCATCTGATGTGCAGAGGCATACATGGTCCAGTACTCTTCACCCGACTTTGGTCCTCCAACTGCATTAACCGTGTCCAAGAACTCCTCCAAATCGCCATCCTTAACCCCTTTACATTTAAATCTCTGTCCATCACTCCTGTAGGTTCCCACTTCAACAGCTCCAGCCGCGACTAAAATCCTCAAAGCACGCCTCAGTCCCATTTTGAGATTTTCTTTGTCAACCCTGTCTAGCCGATAACTTATCCTACCCTCAACTTTTACTTCTCCTGATCCCTTATCTCTCACTAACGAAAAAAGATTTGCTGTTCTTGCAAATTTTGTCATCCTGTCCTTCATGTCAAGCCCTGAAACCCATGGAAACAATGAAGCAAATGATCCGGGCCCCACCGCCGCAGCTTCCACAATGGCCTGGATACTATATTCTTCAGATGCCAATTTATGGATTGAAGTGATGATTCCTCCCTCATAATTTTTGCCTTTGATGCCTGAAAGAGATTCTGGAAAGTATCCCCAGGCCATAAGAACAGGGTGGAGATGAAGGTTTCTGCCAATATTATGGTTCTCCAGTCCACTTGAGATCATCAGAGGGGGTGTCAAGAGGGACCCACCTGCTGAAACTGTGATCCTTGCCTCAATATGCAGCTTTTTTGTGATGTTTTTGCTCACGATGGAAGCAATCACTCCCATGCATCTCTTTCTTCTGCTTCCAATAAGATCATTCTCCAAGATGAATCTCTCTGCTTTGCAACCTGTTAGGATCACTGCGCCATTGCTGACCGCATCAACCAGCCAAGTAGAATCAGTCCCTTTCTTGTCTCCAGTTTTACAGCCATAACAACAAGAACCACAATAATGACTCTCAGAGCAGTTTCTTGGCACTGGATCGACTTTCAAACCAAGATTCTCACACCCTTTTCGAAGTATTTGATTTTGGAACCCTTCCTCTGTACAGTTCTCTGTAACACCAATCCTCCAACAGACAACATCCATGGCTCGGAGATAATCATAGCTTCCGAACATTGGAATCTTTTGTTCCACAGCCCACTCTCTAAGAACAGAATTTGGTGTTCTAATAGAAGCTGACCAATTCACAAAAGAGCCACCCCCAACTGTTGATCCTGCCAAGATCATGATTTTGCCATCCACAGTGGATAGGACTCCACCAGACTCATATAATTCATTCATGGATGGGGCCTCAAGACCTGAATAATCTTCGGGCACGAAGTAGTTGCCCTTCTCAAGGACAAGAACTTTCTGACCGGAGCTTGCAAGAACTGCCGCAGCGACCCCTCCTCCACAACCAGAACCAACAATTACGACATCACATTTGATATTGAAGGTGCCGTTTTTTGTATCCACTGTGGCATCCAGACCTTTCTGGATCAAGGACTCAATCAAAGTTGAATCATTTTCGTTTGTAGTTTCTATCACACCCTTGTCAAGAGGTCTCTCTTCTTGGGGTTTAATCAGGCGTTCTTTGGTATCTACTTGGTATCCAGTTGCTTCCAATGCTGGGTTTTTTGAAGTTTCATCGAGCTGCAACAAATGCAGAAAAGCAATTCTATTTCAAAGATCCTTATGGAGGGAAACAGAGGTACTTTCCTTTCAATTCCAGGTAAAAAGGAAAATTTTAGTTACATGTCAAGACTACAAGGAGCAACCTTTAATTGAAGATACTGGTAATACTTAAAAATTCAGGTTTTACAGAGTTAAAAGATTTTGAAGAACCACAAATTAGTAAAGAACCAATCCTCCCACTCACCCACCCAACCTTCTCTTCTGTTTAGGGGCAGAAAATTGGGAATGAATTACGAATTTCTAGGGTGGGAAATTATATTTTATCTTTCATTGGTAAATTAAGACCATAGGTAAGATTAGTAAAAAAAAACAAAAAAACAAGTAACTTAATAAAGAAAAATGAAAGGGTAAAAGACAGGGAAAGAAACAATGCATCAAATATTTTTAACTAAATAGAGGGTCAGAGGAATTACCCAAGTGAAAAAGGTGTAGAAGCACATGATTTTCAGCATTACAAATGCTAATCTCAAGGGAACCAGGAAAGTTTGCCTTGACCACTTTTTGAGAATATCTTCTCTCTTCTCAATGGATAATTCAGAGAACTTGTGAATAAAGGGCCATCTCCAATCAAAGCAAACAAACCCACAAATCAACAATGTCCCCAATCTGGTCGAAAGAGACTTTAGTACTTGGCTTACTAAGAACACAGCTTCAGATAATCCCCTCTTCACCAATAACTCTGCAACCTGTTCACCATCAACCCAAAAAAAAAAAAGAAGAAGAAGAACTAAAACTAAAACTCAAATTATACATACATGGAAAAAGCAACCATATATTAAAAGTAACAAACAAAAGTATAACACCTTTGATTTAAAAAACTAAGGGCACACCAACAATTAAAAGGAAAAGAGAAGGAAGACCATGGTTGAATATAATATTGTACCTTGTCAGGGATTGGAGGTTGAGACCCAGAAGCTTCGTAGAAGGAATGAAGGGCCTGGTTAGGTGGGTCTTGACTGCTGATGGCATGTGGAGGCAGGGGAGGGATGAGAGCTTCACATATGGCAGCCAGTGATTCCATCTGAGATGCAGAGAAGCCATGGCTGTAGCTGCTGGACCCTCTCGGCAAAAGATGAGAATCTCTTCCCTTCATCTCTCTGTCTGTCTCTCTCTCCTTCGTCACTCTGTCCCTGTATCTCTACGATGCAATATCTTTTCTCGAAATCCTACACAACATGACTTTTGTAGTTGTTGGAATATAATGGATGCCAAGTATTGATGGGAATGGGAAGCCAATGCATTATTGGACTATGTGAAGTTTTATCTTCTTTTTTTTTTGGTCAGAATCCGAAAGTCACTTTTACCGCCGATTAATCTGAAATTCGAGCCGGATAGATCACAAGGGCGATAAAATCCTCCTTATCGAAGACAGCTATTTTCTCAAGACTTAAACTCGAGATTTTAATCAAGTTAGACCAATTTCTCACCAATTGATCTAACGCTCCATAGTTATGTGATATTTTATTAGCGTGGTGTTAATATTGCTTCCTCCCAAGTAAATTTTTAATGTTTCAATTACATTAAGACGTTTCATCGTAGTATACCTCAAAAGAAACAAAATAATTAAAGCTATAATTAATTTAAAAACAAAACAAAGGTGGAATCTAGGAGAGAGGAGAGGGGGACAATATGAAATCTCTTCTGAGTCTAGAAAAAAAATTAAGTTATAATTATTTAAACAAAATAAAACCATTAAACCAAAAACTCAAAATAGAAAGGGATGATGACAAAGCAATCTTCTTTTCCTGGCTGGTATCAGTGTTGTTTGGATAATTGTAATGTTTACTTTTACTGTTGAGATCTAAAAAAATTAAATTAGACTTAATAAAGTGATAGTAATGTAATTTAATATCTAATAATATTATTGTGATTATTATTATTATAATTCTATTATTTGACACATTATTGTGCCAATAAATTAAATTAATTTAATTTATAAATTAAAGATGAACAACTCTATGGCCTTTGGAGGTATCGTGTTTAGGTGGTAGTAAGTAACGTGACCGACCTTTTGAACGTTGACAAGGGAGAGAACAGAAAGGTCTAGTTTATTTATTCAGACTTAAAAAGGATCACCACCAATGGCCAGGGAGAGAGAACTGCAAATGATTAACTAGCAGTCCTATTTTTTTGTAGAAAACATTGGAGTAACGTGCGGGTGTCACTCAATGAAATCATAATCATAAAATATAAAATATCTTAACAAATTAGGTTGGATTCATCCTACCCGACTCTCAACCGAGTGATAACTTTCTAATAAAAAATAATAAAAATTTCAGTTATACTCTTTCTAATTTATAATATCTTCAAAAACAACTCTTATATTATTAAAAACATCATTGATACCCTTTTTAGTTTATATTTAAACATTAGTAACACCTACTATCATTAAACTATCATCTATAACAAAATAAATCATCTCAAATACCAAAATTGCCCTTACATAAACCTTAAACAATCTTTTTACGTAAAATTTGAATCGATTAAAATTTATTTTTTATATATTAAAATGTGAATCGATTAAAAATATTTTTTTACATATTAAAATTAGAGTCAATTTGATCTCTACTGAAACTGTTAGCCCCAATTAACATTTGCTTTGCACCTGATGGTGTGGATGAGTAGAATGTATAAATTTACTTGCACAGTTGGATCTGAGTAATTGAGCTCGTGCAAATGGTGTGTTAGCTTTTGAGAATAAGGGACGTTTCACACAGTAATCTTATAGTGGTTCACCAGTTTGAGAGCTCGACTAATTCACTCTTAAATAGAATTTTTTGCTCTTTGGATCTGTATTAATGATGTATGTGTGATCTATAGAGTGTTTCTAATACCACCGAAGTTACTTGCCTCGTAGCAGAGACATTGTACAATATTTATAGTCCAATTCCTAGTTTTATGGGATATGTGGTGAGATTTTTTGTCTTCTTCCCGTGGTGTCTTGCTTGATACTAGGCGACAGTTATGGTGGTTTGAAGATTTTGTGCCTAGATTAAAGCTTGTTGCCATTGGGGGGATGCCTCGTGAATGCCAGTTGTCCTCCATTTATCTACTTCAGGGTGCAAGGTGAGGAAATCTAGGTTTGGACTTCGGAGCTTAGACTCTATGAGTTGAGCTCCCTTCCTGACCTCAGACTTGGAATTCTTTCTTGGTATCATCAGTTGCCCCAGTCCCCGGTCAAAGTGGGCTTGAGCAGGGGCTGAGCTAGGGCTGAGTTGAGGTAGACCTTTATACGGTGACCTAGTTTTGCGTGTGAAGAGGTTTTTTTGACAATTTTCTGTAATTATTTTTTCTCGATTTTCGCACACGTTTCACACTTCAAAGACCTACATACCATTAGCTTTAAATGTTTCTGAGAAGATGGAGACCGCCTCATTTCTCCTTTCGGTTTCTCTCTCTAGGCTTTTCCTTCTTTCTTCTTGGCAATTCTAGTTTTCCCAATTTGATGGAGTTCTTAGGGCTCTGAAAAATCTGCTTTCCCTGATTTGACTCACCAGTTTTGCAAGGCTCGCATTCTGATTTTGCTTTGGGCTTTTTGATTTGTCCCTTGTCCTTGATTAGGTGCGCTTCCTAGCTTTTAATCACTTCTTCGTTCTGGATCCCTCGAATTTGAGATGGTTACTACTTTTTTGGACTTTTCGATTCTATTACTTTAGGAACTGAGATCGCTCACTGTCCTCTCTTCCACTTTTCTTGGATCCTTACTCTACTTCTAGAGTTTTCCTTATTGGTTGTTAGTGTCTCGATCCCTCAACTCTTAGACACTGTTTTGCAGAAGTTCCTCTTTACCGTTCCTCCAAACTTTCTTTTTCTTGCTCTGTCATGTCCGCCTCTTTTAAAGACACAACCTCATCGGTTTCCCTTATGAGGGACAGGTCTCCTGAGATAGAGGAGGATGAGCTAGGAGAGGTTGGTGACGCAATAGACAATTTTCCTGGGGTTGAGGCTACACAGATGACTGAGGTCCCTCAGGTCTCTCCAGAATCTTCTTCTAACCCCAAACGGTTTTGAAAAGGCAAAGCCAAAATGGAGTCACGTAGCGCCGAGGACTCTGACCCAACTCCTCACGCCTTCGATCTTATTGGTCATAACAAAGTCACTCCCTCTTTTATGAGAGTCCTATTTGCTAAATTTGGCTTCCTTCAGGGCTTGCGCTACTGGATTCCCTTTACGGGCATTAAGTATGATTCAAAGGTCCCAGAGAAGACTTGCTTCTTCGTGGCCTCCCTTGAGAATGGGCTAAGGTTCCCTATACACCCGTTCATCAAATCCGTTCTCCAACATTTTAATGTCTGTCCTGCTCAAATTTCTCCTAATTTCTTGGGGGTCCTGGTGAGTCTCCTTGTCTTCTTTAAGAAAAACGAAATCGGTTCTCCCACAATTCCTCTACTCATGAAGTTCTTAAATGTCAAGTTTCAACCTGATGGATTTTTATAAATGAGACAAAATTAAGAACAAAAGGAAGAAGTTCTACCTGCTCTTTCTTCTGCCCCAACTATAGAAAGAGGAATGGGGATCTCAATCGTCACCTCAGGAAAACTAAAAACTACCCTAGTAAGCCTCGAGTGTTTGATCAGATTGGAGTATTTCTCTGGCTTGCAGACTTTACGCCCAATCAAAGCAAGCCTATCCTTAACTCCCAGCTCGGGGCGAATACCTGCAACGACTCAAAGAAATGAGGTAAGCAAACGAAGTAACAAGAGGAGATAAGATGGGTCTGCCCAAAATAAAAGCTCACCTAGGTTATCAGGGTCTGCCCAGGAGTGAGGAACAGGAAGGGTGTCAGTGATATCATTCGGGTTAAACTCCCACGCCTTTTCTAACACGAAAAAGAACTATTTCTTCCAGTTCTTATGGGAGCTAGGAAGGTCGATAATCAAGATGGGGGTATTTACCAATTTTTCAAGGATTTTAAGGCTAAGGTCAGTGAAATGAAGAAGGCTAGGAGTGGGGGCAAGCGTAAGGCTAAGGTTGGATCAGGCAGTGACGCTGTTCCCTCAGCCAAGGTGCCAAGGTTGGGGGTGCCCCTTACTTCTCCTCCTTCATCCCGGGTGGCCTTTGTCCCCCAGCCGAGCTCCACAACGGTTATGCAAACCTTCTTCCCTCGAGGGGTTGTGCTTCCTCCACCTATGAGGGTCTTTTAACAGGGTATAGTCTCAATCTCTCTCTCCCCAGCAGAAGTTAAAAGAGCCCTGGAGACCATCACTCATATTTTTACCTGGTTCTACTCCTTCTGAGCCAGTTGAGGAGTCCTCTTAACTTCTTCTCCTCAAGAATCGCACGACTGATAAAGGAAAGCACCCCAAGATCAAGGGCAAGGGCTCCCTTATGACTAACGTGAAACGTGCAACGAAAATCATTGCCTCCATTATCTCAGAATCTGACATTCAAAGGGTGGCAACCATGTCCCTTGGATCTTTCATTTCTACTGCCCTGTTTGACGCTACTTTGGTAAGCTTCTGGTTCGTCAAATCCCATTTTTGTCTTGCTTCATTCCTTTGCGCTAACTCTTGTTTTCGGATCGTGTTTGCTCCTAGATGGCTATCCACGTAAGTGGCTTGTTAAAGCGGATCCAAGCTCTAGAAAGCTCTGACAATGCTTCTAAGGCGTTTAAGCTCAAGGCTGCTAAGCTAACCTTTGCCAATGATGACTTTAAGGCCCAGGTCTAAGACTTGCACATACAAGTAGAGAAAAGACCAGGGAGGACCTCCGACTAAAGACTGACGAATGGGTGAAAGCCAGCTAGAAGGCCCTTCGGAGATTTAGACTCTTATAGGGGCTTGAAAAGAGAATATGATGTTCTGGCAGAGACAAGCGGCGTCCTTCAAAATGAACTTGAGGAGGAGAAAGCTACTGCTTAGAAGAAAGATGCGTTGGTCACTAAGTTGGCAGACGACATTACTACCAAGTTTGTTGTTGGGTACCTTACCTTCTAACGTCAAGCCATGTGCAGGTTTTCAGACTTAGATTTTGACGACTTTGAGACCTTGTCTAATGAGGAAAGAAGGTGTCTAGTGTGGAAAGAGGAGTTAGAGTTTTAGCTCCCCCGATTCCTAGTCTTACTGTCGGAGCAGCTGACTTGCCCTTTGTTCCAACTGATGTTCCTGCCAATGCCCTTACTTCTAGTGAGGTTTCTACCGACCTTGAGGCTCAATCTTCTAAACTACCCTTGCCTCCAGGTAAAGACGAGGTCCCTGGCCCTACCTTTGCTCCCACTGAGATCCTTCCACCTTTGCCTACTTCTGATCCTTTTAAGACTTTTATTGTTGAGCTGACAG